CAAAGAAAGAGTTAGTCAAAGAAAGAGTTAGTCAAAGAAAGAGTTAGTCAAAGAAAGAGTTAGTCAAAGAAACAGTTAGTCAAAGAAAGAGTTAGTCAAAGAAAGAGTTAGTCAAAGAAAGAAAGAGTTCGTCGAAGAAAGAGTTCGTCGAAGAAACAGGTAGTCAAAGAAACAGTTAGTCAAAGAAACAGTTAGTCAAAGAAAGAGTTAGTAAAAGAAAGAGTCAGTCAAAGCAACAGTTAGTCAAAGAAACAGTTAGTTAAAGAAAGAGTTAGTCAAAGAAACAGTTAGTCAAAGAAACAGTTAGTCAAAGAAAGAGTTAGTCAAAGAAACAGTTAGTCAAAGAAAGAGTTAGTCAAAGAAACAGTAGCAGGGAACAGTTAGTCAACGAAAAGATGTTCGTCAAAGAAATAGTAGTCCGGAAGAGTTTGTCCAGACAGATTTAGTCAGGAATATGAGGTAGTAAAGAAAAGAGTTTTGGTTTTTTCTTTCTTTGCCAAAGAAAGAGTTCGTCAGGGCAAGGGTCTTTATGCAAAGTTAGTCTAGTTAAAGTGAAAAGCGTCGGAGTTAGTTCGGCATTGATTGTTTTTCCCGCAATGCAAATGGCATTGCAAGTGGTGCTGGTGGAAGAGTTGCCGATGGAGTTTTGAAGGAAGTCTCGCACGAAATGCGTTTTTTGAGAGATAGCAGATGCACGAAACCCTATGTTTTTCCATACAAAGTCCGTCCCCGAACCTCGATGATCTACCTCTGCGGTGCGACGGGTGCGAGACGGTCTCGTGTGTGGTCGGATCATGGTCGGATCATGGTCGGATCATGGTCGGATCATGGTCGGATCGGTCTCGGATCGGTTCCGCATTGTAAATGGGGTTTCAACTGTGTTTCGTCTATGTGCGGTCGACAGAATTCCATTGTGAATTGCAACTGTAGGATCGTTCCCGCAATGTAAATGGGATTGCAAGTGGCACTGGTGGATGAGTTGCCAATGGAATTCCATTGTGATTTGCAACTGTAGTATCCTTCCCGCAATGTAAATGGGATTGCAAGGTTGCTTCCTGCTTTGGCTGCATACGTAATACTATTGTCTTTTGCAGCTGGACTTCGTAAATCGTATTGGAGTGGCTGCATGAAGGCTGCGACAGTGATTTGTCAGAAGATTTTCTTCATTTAGGCGCTAGTGATTTTCCTTCTAAAAATCTTTTTAAAAAGTGCTTCAAAATCGTTTTTTTTTTCGCTCTGGCGTCGAGATCCGGTTTTGGAGCTACAATTTCCGCACTCCAATGCGCGTAGTTCTATTGTCTTTTGCAACTCAGTCTCTGCAGATTGCATTGTAATGGCTGCGTCAAGGTTGCTTCGTGCTGTGGTTGCATTCGTAGGTCTCGCAACCGAAAATGCGTTTTTGAGAGATAGCAGATGCACGAAACCCTATGTTTTTTCATACAAAGTCCGTCCCCGAACCTCGATGATCTACCTCTGCGGTGCGACGGGTGCGAGACGGTCTCGTGTGTGGTCGGATCATGGTCGGATCATGGTCGGATCATGGTCGGATCGGTCTCGGATCGGTTCCGCATTGTAAATGGGGTTTCAACTATACGTCATTAATTCGGTCTCGGATCGGTTCCGCATTGTAAATGGGGTGAAGTTTAAGTGTGGAGTGCGAAGAGCGCAGTGTGAAGTGTGAAGTGTGAGGTTTGGAGTGTGAAGGAAGCAGTGAGAAGTGTGAAGTGTGAAGTGTGAGTGAAGTGTGGAGTGTGAAGTGCGAAGTGAGAAGTGTGAAGTTTGGAGTGTGAAGTTTGGAGTGGAAAGGAAGCAGTGAGAAGTGAGAAGTGTGAAGTGTGGACTGTGAAGTGTGGAGTGTGAAGTGCGAAGTGAGAAGTGTGAAGTTAGGAGTGTGAAGGAAGCAGTGAGAAGTGAGAAGTGTGAAGTGCGAAGTGAGAAGTGTGAAGTGTGAATTTTGGAGTGTGAAGGAAGCAGTGAGAAGTGAGAAGTGTGAAATGTGGAGTGTGAAGTGTGAAATGCGAAGTGAGAAGTGTGGACTGTGAAGTGTGAAGTGTGATGAGTGTGGATGTCGAAGTACGAAAGGTTGAAAGTGTGGGACTGTGCATTAGTTGTGAAGTGTGGACTGTGAATTGTGAAGTGTGAAGTGTGGACTGTGAAGTGTGAAGTGTGCAGTGTGAAGTGTGAAGTGTGAGGTTTGGAGTGGGAAGGAAGCAGTGAGAAGTGAGAAGTGAGAAGTGTGGAGTGTGAAGTGTGGAGTGTGAAGTTTGGAGTGCGAAGAGTGCAGTGTGCAGTGTGAGGTGTGGAGTGTCGAGGGAAGGACACGGTCGGGACAGGGTGTCTTTGAACTATAGGTCATTTACGTTTGGGAAACTTCCGCCGCCGGCTTGCCCGGGTCTATGTTATGGGGGCAAGTCATCTATGATGGGCATTTACCCGGCAAAAATTGAGGAGGGTGATCCAGGAGGGAACTGCAATAGATGCCACAAAAATGAGTAGGTTACCGACAAAGAGATGATATAGTAAGTACTTGTAGTGTGGTAAACCCAATTCCAGAAACCAGTACTAGCAATCAGAAGTTTATTGCCGGGTACAGCACGGGTATCATGCGGAATAAAATTTGGGTAGATTACGGCGACCTCGCTGCTCTCACCATGACAAGGCTTTGCCGGGTGAATCCAACTTAACTTGGGTCAATAGCCATATTTTGTGGGGATCCGGGATATTCCCTTAATTACCTAACTTGGAGGTACCTACCATGTATAGACCGCCTATGCAATGGCTACATAATTAAGGCAATAAGGCAATATCTCCACAAAATATGGCCGGAAAAAATGGTACAGTATCTCCATAATGGTACAGTATCTCCATTTTAGGATTTTGAAAATCCCACTGATTATTTCTAGTTTGCGAGTAACACGTGATGTCCAGTTGGGTAAACATGAAGCGACCTGATGGTTGACTTAGCTGGTGCGGGGCCTTCTTTGTAAGAACATCATCTTTTCATTTTGGTCGGTCTAATTCCGTCAATTTGTTCTTCATATGTAGATCAAATATCTTCCCACGGTCTGCTTGATCCCCGTTCACATCGTAGCTTAAGATATTTGGGCAGTTGGATGGTGTTTTAAACCAACTTAAAACGCGAGCCTGCCCACCTTGCATGCATGCTGTTTATATCAACCGGTTTTTGTCAAGTCACGAACCTCACCCGTCCAGTGGGAAAACCAAAAAAAACAAATATGCAAAAATGACTAGACATTAAATCTCCCAGTCACCAACCACTGCCTTGCTACATATATCTTATCACAATTTCATATCCCATGATGCATCCTCAGATTTCCCATGATATCCATTGGAAAATCCCCTAATTACTACCCGGCTAAGCTGGAGCTTTCCTCCACAGGAATGGTCCATGAAGAAACGCTTCAAGGCGCAGTGCTTCAACGCTGGAGCCAATGCCATTCCCTTCCCCGAGGTGCGCTTGATGCGCTTGACGATCCCACCGAACCAGTGCTGTGGGGTAGACAAAGCTATGGAATTAGGTAGTATAGTTATTTGGGGGTATTTGGCATAGATTTGTCTTTAGTTACTACCATAGTTTGTAAGTATTAGGTAGACAATATAGGTCAGTTTAGGTAGCCCACTTATAAAACAACTTACCCATAGTTTGGGGGGTCCTCAACTTACCCATAGTTTGGGAGTCAAACTGCCGCCAATTTCAAAGTGGCGCACTTGATAGGGGGTCCAACTCAAAACCATACCAGGCTGAGAAAGAACGGAGATAGAATTTGAGACATACCATCAGGAACATTGCTAGATTCACCAACAGTGTTCAACTGTAGACATCACAATCGAGAACTTGCTCACGAGCACTGACCTATCCCTTGAAGCTGAGGATAAATCTAGGCAAATACCCAGCAGGCTAAAAAAAGAGTTGAGTGAGATAGTCACCTGGGTTTGCTTAGCCAATGATTTTTGATTTTTCCACTGAACCTCTGCAGAATTTATTTGTTTTTGCAACTTGCGCAGTGTCAAAAACAATGATCGAGCCTCGGACTAAATGGCAATGAATTTGCCATTTTACCAGCACCATAAAGGGAGTTCAAAAAGATTGTCCCCTTTCATATACATCAATTTGATTTCAAATCCTGTTAAACCCAATGCCATAAACCATCCCGTTAACAAATCATTTGGGGGCTATTGTGAATCATCCTACATACCCGAGTTCATAAACACATGAATTTCCGATTCCGATATATTGTACCCTCTCCTAATCAAATATGGCTATCAAATCCCCGATCTATAGATGCTTTTCCCATGAAGACCTCCATATTTCGTGGATCTCCCAGCTTGCCACCTTTGACACCGGAGGGCTACACCAACCACCCCAGTTTCGTTACAGGATCCATCGGTCACGGAGCCCCCACGCTACGGTAGGTGGTGGACGACTTGTTGAACTGGCTGCGCGAGCTGCTGCGCAAGGAACCCGGAGAACTCAGGCGCGCTCAGCACCGCGCCACGCAAGGTGGTCCCTGGTGAAAATATGTCAAAATTGGGTACCCAAATAATTGGACTGGTTGGTGGTTTGGATCATTTTTTATTTTCCCAACTGATTAATATTTTTTCAGATGGGTTGAAACCAACAACCAGATTGGAAAAATACTGTTGATGGAAGAAATCCTGCACCACCAAAAGGATGTTTGAAACCCTATAAATAATGGCATTTCTTCCATCTATCAACTGGTGCAGGATTTCGCAACCATCCACAGTATGTCAAGATTGGGTACCCAAAGAATTGGAGAATTACCCTTTGGTTTTGACTAACATAGCCATGGAAAGATCCACCATGCTTAAGAACGGTAAACCATCTATTTCTATGGGCCATTTTCCATGGCTATGTTAGATAACCAGATGGTAATACTATGGGATACACTTTTGGTATTCATAAGGCTGCATTGTGGCTGTATCGTGGAATCTTCATGGTGCAAGTACTCTGCATCTTTTGGATACGAGAGGCTGTAGCATGGGAAGTTTATATACCAGTAGTTCCCATTAAATACCATTATATCTCATAAAATCCGTTTAAATCCCTTGTTGAACCCCCATTATATCCCATTAAATCCATTGTGGTTAGTTATATCCCCATCATAGATTATAGTATATTATCATATCACCACGTATAGATGATTTTCCCGCTATAAACCCATAGAAACCCATACTCTGGTTGCCATCAAATCCCCAAGAATCCCCGTCAGATACCCATTAAATTTCACATGAAAAAAAGGTGGTGCCCCCGTTGTCGGAATCGCGTTCAGTTGGTGCAAATAACATCAAATAACTTCAATTTCGCTATGGTTTTTGTAGGTGATATGTGATATATCTATAACATTCATGGGGGTTATTCACCCCATATCACATTTAAACTATATGAATACTATAGTGATATATCTATTGTATTAACCAATCTATAACTGCTGGGCACCACCTTGTACCCTCAAGTACTGAAGGTGTAGAATCGGTGGACCTGGAGACCCCGCGTCTAGAGTGTTCTAGCATGGTCGGATCAATGTTAGACCCCTCGACTTTCTATGCATATCATTGCACCTATGGATATAGTATATTTGTTGTAGGTTTAATGATGATATACAATATGAAACATGTTATTTGTATGGTTTTCATTTAATACAAGAATGTAGTTGCTGATGATGTGGATTTAATGTGTGCAGCGACTGTTGTGAGTTCATTTTGCAAAAAATTATCAGTAATAGTTTCAGAGACCCTGTTGGGCCATATGGACAACTAAAAATTGGGAAGGTGCTGTTATTGAAGCATAGTGGCACCAAAATGGAAGCGCATAGTGCTCCCAAAGCTATAATACACTATACTATTAACATAAAATCTAAAATCTAAAAGGCCCTCAGCTGACATAAAGTTTCAGGGACCCCAATCTTCTCATAAAATGCTCGCCGCAAGTTGAAAAGATAATCCCCATCTAGGCCCACAAGAAAACCAAATTAGACCCCTGTGGCTTGAGAACCCCCCTGTGGAACACCTCAAATTTGATACTTACTCAGCCAACGCATAGTGCTCCCAAAATGGAAGCGCAAAGTTGAAGATGAAATATGGTATTGCAAAATCTTGCCAAAAGTATTCAAATTTGAGCACCGCAAAACAATTTACTGTAATTGTTGGTAGGGCCCAAAGTTGAAGCTTGAATCTTTTTGTTCAATAATTTGTCATTCCAAGCCTGCTCATACATTGTATCTTGATAGTTCCAAATATGTCCAGCGAGACCGCCATTCTAGACCAGGCAGCTCCGGGCAACGTATATAAAGTTCTGGAGTGATATGCTAATTTATGTTAGACGGCGCAGGAGCTTTCATTTTGGACCAGGGGTTTGGGGTCTAAAATGAAGCCCCAGTGTCCCTCGGTAGTAGTTGAGGGTATATAATTCCCAAATTTGAGATTCCAGATAAAGATCCCCCTGTACCACCATTCTTAACTATATTCCCATGATAATCCATAATATTCAAATCCTAGCTTATACCCATTAAGATCCCATGAAATCACCATATCTCCCCAAATTTGTGGGATCATAAGCCTCTAAAAACCAAAAATGGTTTCCCGTTCGTATCTGGTTGGTGGTTTCAAACATGTTTTATTTTCCATAATATGGGATAATCCTTCCCATTGACTCATATTTTTCAAGATGGTTATTGCACCACCAACCAGCCATAGTAGTAAGTAGTAAACATAACCATCACCAGTTATATCAACCGAGTGTAGTTATATCACCACAACCATACCCATCACCTATGGTAGTTATATCATGGTATCATTGGTTATTGCACCACCAACCACATATATATATAATGTTATAATCTCATCATTTAACCATATATAACCACTATTATTGGTATTAATAACGATATAATCACTATATAATCCCATTATTGATGATTATCTATATGTTACTAACCACTATTATTCCATATATAACCAGTATTATTCGTAGTATAGCCACTATCATCTTTCCCTCCTAACTTCGGCTCGCTACGGCTGTTGGTTTTCAGGAGTGAAGATTTCCTCTTCGTGACCTGCGGCAACTGGGACGTCCCTCGGCTCCGCCGCAGCAGATACAATGTGGATGCCCCCGTTTGACCATAGGAAGCCATAGGAAAATGTGGATTTGATGGGATTTATAACTGATTTATGATAGCTAAGTTGGCTAACTTCAGTAACTATGGTTTATGACAATTACTTATACTGTAACTAGAGTTAATGGGGTTTGTAAACCAACTTATAACTGACATGGTAAGTTTGTCCAAAAACGTGGTATGTCCGAGGAAGTTCATGTGGGAAGCCTTGGATGGCAACTGAATCCTTTTTCGCTGTGAAACAGGGACGTCTAAGAATCAGCTCACAAGCCGCAAAAAGGTGGAAAAATGATGATTTAACCAACAAGAATGGTGTTTTATCCAGCACAAATGATGATGGAACCAGCAAAAATGTGGGGTTGTAAATGATGATTTAGCTCGGGAAAAGTGGAAGTTGAACTGACAAACAGGGGTCACATCAAAAGACTATAAACTGTGTTCGGTTAGATATTTCTACCAGTGAGCTTGGCTTCAAGGACTCAATTTGGGTAGGTCCCAAAAGTGGTAACCCTAAAATGCCTGAAAATGCCAATCAATAGTTTTGGGATTTACATCTGTTTCCATCTATTTCCACAAAAAAAAACATGTTTTCCGACACATCCATATGGAGGTTTCCTGAAATGGGGGTACCACTGCTTATCATCCATTTATATAGGTTTTTCTCTTATAAACTATTCATTTTGGGCACCCCATTTTTGGAAACACCCATATATCATCAGAAGACCTCTCGGCTGTGTTTCACCATGGTCCCGGCAGGTCAAATCGGCGATTCCCCGGCAGTGTAGCAATCCTGCACCAGGCGGAGGGGACAAGGTTGGTGCCCCACTTCTGTTTTTGTTGGTTGATAAAGCATAGTGGGGGTTCCATAAATGGGGGATTTGCTAAATGGTTTGTTTATAATGGAAAAACAAACTAAAATTGATGATTTTTAATGGAAAGTCCGACTAAAATGGATGATTTATAATGGAAAGTCCGACTAAAATGAATGATTTCTAATGGAAAATCCCAAACAAGAATGGATGGGAACTAGGGGTAGCCCTATTTTAGGAAAGCCCTTAGTAAGTAGTTCGATATATCTACCATAAACCCAATAGTTAATAGTTGCATAGGGAAGTTATAAATACGTATAGGTTGTTTTTACACTTATAAGTATAGTTTGATAGACTGACCTAACAGATATTGGGGTTATCTTTAGGCAACTATGAGGAACCCACTTGCAAAAACAATCGCTTAGTAGTGTTTCGGCATATGTTTGGGACCATTTAGGGTGTGTTCAATACTAGAGGGACAAGATTACCACTTGCTTCCAGCGAAAAGAAATTGGGTTAAACTGTACTAATAATATGTACATGCCAGGCTTGTACTAAGGATCTGTTCTTTTTGCTCCAAACTTGTGCTAATTACGGGGCATGCAAAACCATGGGTTGTTTTGCCATTCTAGTAGCAGATGACATCACTTCATCGGGTTAACCCAGGGATTATAATCAATAACTAGGGCTTACTAATCCAGGATACACATTGCACAATTTTGACAAAGAATTTCAATAGTAGATGTTTCCCATATGACAACTTTGTCCAAATCCATTTCTTATGGGGTACATGTCGGTTTTCAATGGTGTATGTACTCACGGCAGGTCTCAGTCTGCATAGTGCACCTGCGTATGCACAAAGAACGCAATCATGAGCCTTCGATCGATTCAAGCAGTTTCACTGATTCGCTTGATATTCTTTGTTGACCAGACTGGTGTTCGACCATTGGCCGTGTCAAAGTGCGCCACCAGGCGCGGTCCCGTGTGCAGATCCTGCGGTCCTTTGCGCCATGAGCAGCTATGTGCACCTTGTGTCAACTGTTCATTGGTGATAGGGCTGATTGCAGCCAGCAGTGCCAGTGGTCATGGATGATCAAATTCATCAACCCTGCTTTCAAAGAGCCACCATGAGCCATGAGCCAAAAATTGAAAAGGTGGATGGCAAAACCGTGGCAAGAGAAATCCCCTTTGTCATTAATTACCCAGCGAGCTATCTTGGTATATGACAATCATTCCAAAGTGCTTGAAGTCAATTTTTACCCCCTGAGTTGAATGCTTCACCTTTTCTTAATGACTTGTTATGTTTCAAACTTCTTTCCAACCTTTTGTATGGCTGGCTGGGTCTCAAGTTTCATTGATGTCTTCTTGGGTTTTAGTGGAATTCCGGCTTGGGAATGGGTTGTCGCTTGGTCGTAGCACGAAAAAATGATAGCCTTCTCGGGTTCCCAACGTGATCTTTGTTTATAGACGTCCCTACTTTTCAGTGGGAATCTGTTCTCGTCAATGGGTGAAGATTTTTGTAGACAACGATAACAAATGGATGTTTCCTAAAATGGGGGGTAACCCCCAAATCATCTATTTATAGATTCATTTTCCATTCTAAACCTTCTAAACCATGAATTTTCCGGTACCCCCATTTCTGGAAGCCCCCAAATGTTAGTTCCACAGTTGTGTTGTCGATTTTCACGACTCCCGGGATGAAAATATCTCCGAGTTCCCATGATCTCCCCAAGTGCTAGATATATCCCCCATCAAATGAACATAAGACATGCTTACCATTAATATATATCTATCATTTTGATGGGTGGAATGTATATATATATATATGGTCATTTTGATGTATCATTAATGAATATTGATGTATCATATATGAATATTTATATATATACATCATTTTGATGTATCATTAATAAAATGGGACTATATACCATATACCATCAGTTATTTGGATATGTTGATGTATCATGCTTACCATTAACTGTAGATACATCAACATATCCAATGATACTATATAGATAATGGCTGATATATTGGATGTGTGTTAATGAATGAGATATTTTGATGTAATATTCGATCGAGAAATATCTGTTCCTATTTTGCTGAAAATATCAGTTCATATCAATCATATCCCTATTAAGTCATGAAATATCCCCATGAAATATTGCCTAACTATTGATGTTCAATATCCCCATATGGAGGTTTCCTAAAATGGGAGTACCCCAACAGCTGGATGTTTTTTTTTAAGTCCTATTAAAAACGATGATTGGGGGGTAACCCTATTCATACCTCCCAGTTAATAACCATTAATATGTTCCTGTCAAGGTGTTGCTAAGGGTCATATCCCTAGTGACATATTAGTTCTTCAGCGGGGAATATATTAATCAACACCCCAACTATTAATAGATCCCCATCAGTCATATTCCCACTAATTCCCACTAATTAGGAAACCTTTATTTTAGGTTTCTATTGTAGCAGTTTTATTAACTATATGATAATCAACCATTAACAATAGTTAACTATATGGAAATATGGAAATAACTATATGCAATAACCAGTTATTTGGAATAACCATATATAACCATATATAAACCAATAGAACTATTTATTAACAATGATAATCATATTACCATTAGTGGTTATATTGGTTTATATTTCCATATGTTCCCAGCTTCAGCAGGTGCAGTGGATGTCTCGCTGCAAAAGCTGCTCTTTTCGCGCTGGAGCAACCTGAAAGAGGCGGAAAAAGAAACCAACGGGACAGGGTCCCAAAAAAAAACAAACAAAAGGCGGTTTCAATGTGAAAATGGAGGAAACATGTTGGAAAAATGCTGGGAAAATTGAGATTTTTTCGTAACTTTGTGGTGGAAGACCAGGAATTCATGGCAATTTAATGGTGGTTTTTATTACCAGACTGGGTGGATACGTGGCATACCATCAAACATAAGGTCGAATTTGCAAAATAAAACGAGAATGGACCATGAACATATGGGCAAACCAAAGAAAAAGAGTAGTTAAAAACGATTAAAGGACCGGATGACACCCCACATGTCAACTTCTTCCGATAATGAGCAACAAATGTTGCAGCGGAACGGGGAAGGAAGGAAAGACAAAGGAGGTGGTGAAGGATCGAGTAGTGAAAAAAGTTGTGTGGGACAAAGTTGTATCTGAAAGATGTTGTGTGACAAAGAAAGATGGTGTGTGACAAAGATGGTATGTATGTATGTTATGTAATGTAATGTAATGTAATGTAATTTTATGTAGTGTAATGTAATGTAATGTAATGCAATGTAATGTTTTGTTTTGTTTTGTTTTGTACGTATGTAGCCAAATCCGGCATGTCCATGTCGCCAGGTGCCAAGCCAAGTGGAGGTCGATGTCGCCAAGTGCCACGCCTGCCACGCAAACAGCCACGGGGACAAGGGCGTCAATTGTGGGAACCAAGCGCGCCACCAGAGCCAGCCAGCGCCATAAGTGCCACGCCTGCCACTTAAAGTGCACGTCCATGTCACCAAGTGCCACGCCTGCCATGCCAAGTGCAAGTCGATGTCGCCAAGTGCCACGCCTGCCACAACAGCCGCGGCGACAACGGCATCAACTGGGAACCAAGCGCGCCACCAGAGCCAGCCCAGTCCCGTAAGTGCCATGCCTGCCACGCATGTCGCCAAGCGCCACGCCTGCCACGCAAAGTAAAGGCGATGTCGCCGCGTGCCATGCCCGCCACGCCTGCATGCCACGCAAACAGCCGCGGCGACAACAGCGTCAACTGGGAACCAAGCGCGCCACCAGAGCCAGCCCAGTGCCGTAAGCGCCACGCCTGCCATGCAATGTGCACGTCCATGTCGCCAAGCGCCACGCCTGCCACGCCAAGTGGAGGTCGATGTCGCCAAGCGCCACGCCTGCCACGCAAACAGCCGCGGTGTGAGCAAGTTGTGTGTGGACAAGTTGTGTGTACGTAAGTTGTGCGTGAGCAAGCTGTGTGTGGACAAGTTGTGTGTGAGTTAGTTGTGCGTGGACAAGTTGCCTGTGAGGTTGCTGAAAAACATCCAACTACTCCCTGGTAATTTGTTACATGTTGCTATTGAGAATGGCCCATTTATAGAAGATTTACCTATTAAAGATGGTGAATTTCCATAGCTATGTTAGTTTACTATAGGGCAAAGGGGGGAATTTCCAGCAAGCCACGTTTGATTCCCGGGTAACACATATTATGACCATGGTTTTTTGTGTTCACCATATGATTTTGAATAGGAAAATTGATACTCACCACTCAACTCACTTGAAATGTTTCTCGTACCCCATCATTCCAAATAAGAATGACAGATATAATATATATGGTGCCATTTTTTGTCGCTTCCCCATTTTAAGCACTTTAAGCTGTTGATATACATATGTATGTTTTACTGTTATTTATTTCTTGCATACCATGACACATTCTGCTCTTTCGAGGAGCATGTCGTTTCTGAAATCTCTCTTTCCAGAGACCATGCCTTCATGGCCGATCATGGTTAAAATGTATCACTTATACACCTCTTTGCTTTTGAAGTCTATCTTCAGTTTGGTGAATATAAATCATTCAATTTGGATGCTAAAAGGTAAAGATAAAAACGTCACGTTTGCTGATATCTCCTCTGTTGTCACGTTTATTTCAAGAAAGCGGCGCCCCTAATCATGTAACTGGCTGTCAATACATCAACCATAAGCCCAATCGTAAGCCTAGTCATATAAACCAACTTAGCTATCATAGAGTGACTAAAAACATCACTATTTTAAGCGTGGTTTTCTATCGCCTAAATCGCCGGTTTTCTATCGTCCCTTGTGGATGGGCAGCAGCCACTCGATTCACCGGCCGTTTCAGGTTTTTAGAGACTTCTACAAACTCCCGGAGGCTGCTGCGCCCACAGGCATGCGTGGCATGCTGAAGAGGCTGAGGAGACCGACTGGTTGATGGTTGGTTTTTTTGGGTACAAAAAGAGATCAAAAACAGATGGAAAAATTGGGATTCAACTATCAAACTATGGTTTAACTGTTGAACCATGAAACTATGGTTGTAGACCACCTGGTGAGTCAGCTAGTTTGATAGTGGGTATAATTGCCAACAAGATGAATCAATGCGAAAACTTGAGCCCAACAGATTTCGAACGGATAGGCGACGTGGCCAACGGAAGTGAGGATCCAATCAAAAAAAACATTGCTGCCCATGGAAGTTGTTGGAGAATATCCTGGATGACGCACCCCTGAACTAGTCACTTTAATTCCACAATTGTCGGCTTATATTCCCGCAATGTTGCCTCCTTAAAACTATCATGGAATGGAGCCCCATTGAAAGATGGGGGGTTTGTCATGTAGTTTTCCTGTATATATTGATGCCATGCTACTTTTCAAGTGTGGTCGATTGTACCCTCTGCTAATTTAGCATAGCTATTGAAAATGACCATAGAAATAGTGTATTTACCCATTAAAAATTGTGATTTTCCATCGTTTTTTGTAGGTTTACCAGAGGGTATCTCCAGTCGGGAAAGCTTTCATCCCCACCAGGATTCCCCTCTCTGGGCAGCACCACTTAGGCTGGGGGGCTGGGCGACGCCCAAAGCAGATTTTTTGGTTGACCCCCGGATCTAAACATAGAAAAAGATGTGGAAGACTCAGCATTTGTAGGTCATATTCCGTTTCTGGGTTCCATGGTTTTTCCATTTCTGTATTGTTTGCCCACCCCTTGCATGGCACAAGGTGGTGCCACCCCAGTTATGTTTGTTGGTTTATGAACCATAGGAGCTAGTTCGATATATACCATAAACCAAACATAATCCAACAGTTATCGGACTTAGAAACCAACTGAAATAGCAAAGCGTCATTAAATCCCATTCATTCTCATTAAACCACCATTCAAATCACCATTACCGTCCAATCACATCATTAAACCGTCAAATCACATCATTCCACCATAAACTGAGTTCCGAACTGGGGCAGGGATGGACGACGTGAGCAACCTAGCGAAGATTTTGCAGCGCCTGATCCACGAGGGCTGCAACGTCACAGCCACAGGATGGATCCGGGGGTGCCCGCCTGCCCGCCTTGGTTTTTGGACCAAAGTCATAGGGGGATTTCACCAACGGAAATGGAAATTCAGTCGGAGTTCATAGGATTTCATGAGATTTCATGGAAAAGTATAGGTCATTTATGATTTAGAACGGCAATTTAGAGGTTATTTAATGCAATGATGAAGCGACAAAATGATGATTAAATTGGAAATATCACGGGGATATAACATGATATAACTGGATATTTCATGGGATATTGGAACATTACTGGGGAATGAATATGAGTGGATTCCCCGCTGGCCGTTTGGTTGTCCCTGCACATTTTGGTGGTGATTCACTGTTGAGGTCTATGGTGATGAAAATGATCCTCGATAGCGAAACATGAATTAAAGGACATAACATGTGGGGAGCATCACTGGAATCATGGTTAATAAGGGAAATCATCCCCAAATGACTTTAGCTCAGGTTAGTGAAATATTGCAATTTACCCGGATCTTGTAGATGGATTCCATTAATTTGGACTACAGAATGGAGGAAGATATTGCAATACACAGTAAACGCCAAGTTTTTTTTGGGTAGGGTATCTGCGATTAGCCCTCGTACCCTCCTGTCAGGGGGGTGCAAAAAACAATGCATGAGAAGTTCGGATGAGAACCCTTGTTGCTGAAAGAACATCCGCAGAACATGTTCCTTTAATTGCACTTTGATGATAAAGTGAAGATTGGATGGTATAATATTATTTAATATTGGCATTGTGAAATCACGAGCTGATCCCTTGGGCAATCGAAGATTGCCATTACTTCAAACATAGGGGTCAATAGACCTATTTTAGGGAATCCCCATTCATGATGACCACCTACCACAACCCGTTAATCTCACCAGGCCAAGCTGAGCAAAGACCAGTGAAAGGCGTCGATACCGCTGGATGGGTGCAAGAATGGGCAGTGCCCGGGAAGTGGTAGTTCAATGATGTTTAGTTATGCTACATGATGTTCAGTGATGTTTACTGTTGTTTGAATGATGTTTGAATGATGTGTAATGATGCTGAAGGATGTTAAATGATGCTGAATTTATGTTGAATGATGTTGAATTATTTTTATGATGGCCTTAATAATTCTGGCTCTTGAATGGATCACCGACGCTACGGGTCTTCTGGGATCAGCACGAGCCGCACACGACCCGCACTCTGCAGCAAGCTGCTGGACCAATTCTCCATATGCTGAAGATGCAGCTGTGCCGTGCCAAAAGTACCAAAATATCATTTGGAGGTTTCCTGAAATGGGGGTACCCCTAGTTATCATCCATTTTAGAGTGGGATTTTCCATTGGAAACCAACCATTTTGGGGAACCTCCATTTATGGAAACTTCCATTTGAATTGGGTTCTTTTAGTCTATAGCGAAATAGGGTTTTAACAATCTTTAACATTGTTTTGGGTTTGACATGGTGTTATGATAAACCACATATCCAACATGCCAATAGCTTTTCACGCTGCCTAGCGTGCCGTGCCTCGCCAGAATTGGGATGATCAAAACTGAGACAGACCGTGTGTTTCTCTCGGCGTCAGACTATCCGTTTCTTTGATGATACCATCATCAGTAGTAATTGTAATAGGATAGTAATGACAATGGAAGAATTATTCATGTGTGTTTTTCTCTCTAGTGTCGCAGTATTTGATGAATATTGATAATATTGTGTGTTTTTCAGATGGATAATTTGCAATAGGAATAGTCAAATGATAGTCATTGTCAAATTACCTCATTGCAAACTATTTTCAGGTATGATAGTTTGACAAGATAGGTAATTTTGCAATGAGATAGATGGAACATGTCTTCCCATGCCAAGTTTGAACCACCACTGCATTTTTTGTTAACTGATCACCATTCTAGCATTCGCACTCTTATCCACTGCTATTGCCTGAGGGTTGATCCAGTTCATCAAGTTCCAGGGCGAACAAATGTCCTGGCAGAATCCGTCCATGAAGAAATGTCATCCAATTCACCTGTTTAGTACTGAGGCTATTTATTTTGAGGGACCATATGTGAGGGTACAGTATGGAGATTGGAGTGCCGAAAATTCCAACCACGGAGATGTTAATCTGTTGGTGCCGATCTCCGCCAGGGAAAGGGAAAGATGGAAAGGGCAAAGGAAAGGGAAAAGGAAAAGGAAAGGACAAAGGGCCTAAGGGCGGCAAAGATTTCGGCAAGGTGTGGCCGGAGACTTTGACCAGGGCAGCCCTGGGAAGGGAAGGTGGGGTTCAAAGTCAACCAAAAGGCTTCAACTTGGATGCGGTTTCCAATTCCATGTTGTCCGAAAATGTGGTATACCCCAAACATCAATTTTTTTATGGAGAATCGTGATTCACCAGCGGATTTCGGAGTAGCCGAGGAGTACTTTTAGAGAAGCCCATAGAGTTTGTGGTTGGCAACCGGCAATCGTTGCTTTTTTCCCAGTGACGAGATAACCCCACCTGCTTCGTGATGTCTTCATCATTTGCCAGGATGCACGTGACTTTGTGGTAAGACACATCCCCATTGGAGGGGTTCCTTAAAGCCACCAAAAAGAAGTTATCATAGTTATCCTTAGTTTGGGAGGTCCCAAATTTAAAGCAACACCCATGTGCATCCATTCGCTACAGAGTTGGAAAATAAAAGTCATTGGAACATTGCTGAGTGAGTTTCAGGGTCTCTATGTTTCTCTTCTTTAGCTTGAAACGTCACCTATAAATAGTGTTTAGAGAAGAAAGATGTGGAAAGAATGGTCATGAAACCAGCCGATCAAGAATTGGATGAAGGGAAAACCTACCTAAAATCCCTTTGTTTGAGCTTAAAACCCTGGTTTCAGTTTCAACTATAGATTTTGCCAACTAAACCAATCCACTGAAGCCTCGATTGAGCTGTTTCCCCATGTTACCCCCATATATCAATGTTAAATCACCATGATTTCCTATGTTTTCCTATCATATGTCTCCCCGTAACATCCATGAAGATCACCATTCTGGAACTGGGACAGGGCAAGTTTGGAAAGGAAGGCGCCGGAAGGGTGAGGTCGTGGTCAAAGTGGCTTTGTTTTGACCCCAAAATCCTGTGGGTAAATTGACCATCAATTGTGATTCATGGTGATTCATGGCTATTTTGTTGGTTTATTTTGGTAAAGCAATGAATTGCCTTAGGTAAATACTTTTTTTGATTTTTAGCCATTTGAAGTTGGAAGCCAGAGCTAAGGAGCTAGAGATTCAACCTGATCCACAATGTGTGGATGCACACCCGGCCACAGGTTGGCCTTGTTGATCCGTATCCGGGTTATTAATGGGTATATGCTAACAACTATCTCCATACGTTGGGATATACCCCACCTATGAGTGGAATTGCACCCCCAAGTTAGGTTTCCATGTGTTTTTGTTTGATTGAAAACAGGTGCTTGGTGAATGCTTATGCCATTTTCCGCGCGGTTGCACCGCCCGGGATGCATTGTATGTTCGTCCCATGAACGGGGATTAGTGTAGTGATAGAAACATTGGCCAAGTGCTGTTTGAGATAAACAATATTAAACAATCAAGTAGAAGAGGAGTCGACTGATAACTGGTTGGTGCTTTGGAACCATGGAATTTTATTTTTCCCATTCAGTTGGGAATTTCATCATCCCAAGTGACGAACTCATATTTGTTCAGAGGGGTGGCGAAAAACCAGCAACCAGATTAAAACCCTCCCATCGTTTCGGTGGATCCTCCTATTTTTCCTATGATTTTCATGGTTTTTCATGATGGTTATGTAATATGTTATAATCCCATCATATAACCATCATATAACCACTATTATTGGTAGTATAACCACTATTATTTTCCCATTATCAGCATGTAGTAACCATTAAATCCCTTATCAACCACTATCAACCACTATATATATGATAATTCATAATGACTCATCATGTTCCCCCGTTTAAGTGTTGTGGCTCGATGTTCACCTGGCCATCGGACCTCGCTACACTCTATGAAAACTGACCACAGACCTAAAGCGACCCTTTATTTATGCTGGGGGAGATGGATTACACATTGTAAGGCATCTTCAGAATGATGGGTTTAACCAACTACAATGGAACTCTTTTAGGAATATAATGGGTGTATCATGGAAAAATGATTGGATGTATATGCATGTACGGGGAACATCATTGGATAATGGGATTTACCCTGTGGTAATTCAACAGTTTACTGAAAAATCTCCGGTAAATCATCGAACAAAATCAGTCATGACTCGGATAGCAAATGATTTTTTTACCAGAGCATTACCGGAGCCTAATTGTTGATGAATATCATCTAATGTTATTAACTATACCCATGTATTCTTCGATTCCGTCCCATCATCATTGTTGTCGAAATCCCATCTTTTTTGCTATGGTGAACTCGCGTGGGATTCCTGCCGTTGGGGGAAAATGAGAAGGATCAGTTATGCCTTGAAGTTTTGGACACTGGTTCTTCTTGAACATCAAGAACCAACCTGGCCACGCAAAACAAGTGGACAATGAAGATTGGAATTGTTTTAATCAGAGTTGCTCCGGCCCACTACCGGGGCGGAAACTGGCCACCGCTTTCTTTACCCAGTTTTCCCCTAAATGTAGCTGGGATGTTGGGACAACCCTGATGACGGTTGAGTTGATGTTGATTGGTCAGGCATGGGTCAAAACATACAAAACGATTCCCATAAACGTTAGCGAAGTAGGTAAACATCATTCCAATAACTAATGACATAGAAAAAATTGGGGCAACATTAACCAACAGTCATCACTGGGGGGGGGCACTTTGCTATCCTGTTGATAGTTATATCCCATTGATATCACTTGTTGCATCACAATGTGTCCTAGTGAAAAATTGCATTTTCATGGTAAATCGTTACCCCATTACATCAACATCAACCATCAATATACCAATGATAAAAACCATCAATATAACTAAAATGTCACCAAGCAACATCAATCCTTTAGTATGCCAATAAAAACCAATAAAAGCATCAATATACCATTCAAATTCCATGAATGTTAGTAAAGCAATCATGTAACCCATCCCCAATTTTACCATTTTTATGGATGGTATTCACCATCAAAATATGGGTGGTTCCTTACTAAGATTCAGGAACATTATATAATGATCAATAATATTGTTACTATCAATGATTGCCCCATCAAAAATATGGGATTTTACCTTCAAACTATTGCTGTACTAAGATCACTGTCACCATCTATTTTTTGAATTGGGATATTAGTATCATAATTACTACTATGGATTACTACTATGGCTATTTTCAGAATTCATAGTAAATAGGCCTATTCATAATAGATGGTAGAAATTTATTATGGAAAGAAAATTATCAGATAGTCAATGATAATTATCATACTTCTCATACTATATGGGATGATTCTTCCCATTGAATTTCATATTTTTCAAGATGGTTAAAAACCACCAACCAAATATATATATATATATAATATATATGTTTTAATCCCATCATATAACCATATATAACCACTATTATTGGTATTTTAGCCTACTAATTTGCTTCAGACTTGGTGATCCAATTTTTTCCCCATTCTTTGATCACTGTCACCATCTCCAGGGCGTCCCGGTGGTTATCAAAACGGCACAGGTGCCGAGCCCAGTCCCGGGATCGCGATTGGGCTGGGAAACCCCACCACAAAACCAAGGAAAACCATGGGAAAATCCTGTGCCGTTCGAATAAGGGGGAAATCCCTGAACTGAATCGAGGTTTCTAGATGGGAAAAGCAGAAAAAGAAATCATTTTTGAGAAACACCCAATTCTATTGATCCCAAAGTTCTGACTTTATCCCTAAAGCATGGTTTCTGGGGGGTGTTTAGAATATCACAAAGGGAACTGCAATCGACTTGGAAAATCATGCATAAATGAGAGGCTTTCCATTGCCATGTTCGATTGCCAGAGGGTATTGGGGACTTACGGAGAAATGAAATCGGGAATTGGTACAAAAGAGTTTCATGTAGGAATCGAAAGTGTTGTGGTACAATGGTCTCTAACTTATTTGACCAACAATTATATGAGTAATGGGTCTGTCTTAAAATGGGGGATACATCCAAACCTGCAACTTGTAATGTAGAAAAAGCAAAAGGATTACACATTGGAACCGACGAAACACGTGATTTCCAGGTTGCTCTAGATGAGATGTACCTGATCTGCTTGTTTCCCATATACTGGGAAGAATCATCCCAACTGACTAAGATTTTTCAGATGGGTTGAAACCACCAACCAGTGATGCATTTCATAATTCGAAGTTTTGCTATCGATTCGGGGTCATAGTATCGACGACTTTTTGCTTCCATAAGTTGGCGGAAAGGCCTCCAGACACTGATGTGAAAACAAATGTAACATGTGTAAGTGCACAATGTCACATAAAAATGTAAGAATGCATGTATTCTGCTCTTGCAATGCATTTAAAATGTATCCATATTTCAAGAATGCATCGTTTTTTTGGTTGTAATCATACATTCGGAAGATGTGACAGAGAATTTGCCTGCCCTACATCACACTATATACATGTCACATGCTGTATATATCTCCAAATACATCCACAATGACAGAAAAAGTGATGTTAACACTGGGAACAAGTACACCGGGTCGGTCATTTCTACTCATTAAACTTCATTAAGCCATCCACTCACCCCTTTTTTTGGTACCCAAGGAAATTAGGAAATTACCACAGGAGAGTTCTCGGGTGTTTGTGTATGTAGCATGTTGTGGCTTTGCGCTGGTGTTCAACACAAGTTCCTTGGTTTTGCATATTTTGAATGGTTGATATTCTTTTTCAGGTTTGGGTTCTGGGCTGATTTTGTTGCTAGCGTTGGCTCTGTGTTTTTCCTGTTGCTGCTGTAGTTCCTAATGTGGTAATCCCAATGCAATAAACCCTCCCCAAGACATCACATTTCTTGATGGCTAGTGTGTATGTTTACCAGCCCCAAAATGGGACTTGTTTCTAGCATTGGCTTTTCCACATTAAAACCATTAAAAACATTACAACCATTAAAACCATTATATCCTCCATATTAAAACCTACATTTACAGGTGGATTTCCCCGTATTTTCTTATGATTTTCATGGCTGGATGCTGCCTTGGAACTTGTCAACTTGTCGTCCTCTTCGTGGCCCAGTTGCCCGGGTGCCCAGGGTGTTAGCTATGTTGCGCTGACAGTGATGTTGTTTACACCAACTATCTCCAAATCATTGGGGACATCGTGGGGAATTTGGTGATTTATAGTGCCAGTCGTTGGGGTTATAGTCGGTTTTTCTGAACCAACTTTAATAACTGGGGCTGAACCACCATTTCAACTATCTAGAAATCGTGTTTTTGATCAAAGAAAAACAAAAAAAACATCCCCATTGACCATTTGGAGGCGATTTTATTTGATTGCTTAAAGTAGGGCTTTATTTCAAGATCCTGGTAACTGCAATACTGCGGACATCATAGCCATTTTTTTTCGCCAGGTGCCCCAGTGAATCGCCAAGTTGGTACCTAACTGCAAACACTGTTGGGTTGATGATAGATATATCTAGAGGTCCTTGGGGCTATAAACCAACGTATACTTCATAAATGAGCTCAATGCGGGGTAGGAATCTCCGCCAAATCCCGAGCACCAATGCCAGTTGTTCAGAGTTTTTTTTGGGGCACAAATCCCAATTAATAGACGATGTTTCTATCCGATAGCAATTGCAGTGAAACCCAAATGCTGGGAAAACCATAAAGTTGTGACACCGTGTGAGTGTTCATATCATGGCACTTTTAAACATCGGTGTTGAAAATTTTGAGATGTGCCAGTGGGGATTTCCCGCGAAGTCGTCGGCATGGCTACTGGAAATACTGGAACTGTGGGACACTTTTCACTTCGCTTCGCTTCGCTTCGCTTGTCGAAAGCATGTGAGATCCCCAACACAAACCATCCCCAGGTGTCAAAGCACTGAAACAAACCACTGGGGATGGTGTATCATTGTGGATTCGTGATTGGATTCTGGCTCTGTTACTACTACTGGGTTTTTTTTATTGGGGTGCAGTTCCAACAACGGGGGTGTCTTGTTGTGGTTCAAGGGCTTGTATATATATATATAATTATATATATATATATACATGTGTTTGATGATGACATATTTGCTTGGTGGTTTCATCATGAAAAAAAAAGCCATCTTTTGGATGATGATCTTTACTATGTCTTTAGGGGCTGAAACCACCAATTCCATGGTGATTTTCGTATCCCAATGATTCAACACCCAGCCAGTGCTTCAGTCCCTGTCACCTCACCTCACCAAGGTTGAGAAAGATCTCACGGGTCTGGTCAATCCCAGCGACATTTGCGCGACATCTTCTTGGATTATTTCTCCAGGATTTTTTATGGTTTAATAGTCTGGTTGGTGGTTTCAAACATGAATTTTATTTTCCATTTCATATGTGGGATAATCCTTCCCAACTGATTTTCATATGTTTCAGAGGGGT